GTTCCCTAACTGTTTATATTAGCCCCTTATATTTTCTTGATAGCACTTCTCATTGTCTGATGATAGGCATCAGATAGCACTGTCTGATGTTTTGTTCATTTATGTCATATGTTTATTTGCTACCTCTTTTTGACCTTCAGTAGAGTAGGAGTTAAATGAAGCCTGTCTTGTTCTCTTTTGTATACCCCTTACCTAGTACAGTGCCTGGCACGTAATGGATGCTCAATTTAATATTCATTGAATTTGTATTGAATGATTACAGTGCAGTTCTCTGGGGCTTGACAAGAACATAGAAGCCTACTGAATTCCTATATACTGATGTACTGTAGGGAAAGATGATTAAGCGGAAGGAAACCACCTCATCATCTGCACTCGGAGAAGCACTGATCTCTCTGTTATTCCCTGTGTTTCAGGAAAATGCCAAAGGAAAAACTCTTATCCTCTTGTATAATTCTAAAATAAATTGTTTTCCTCTCTTGGCAGGTGTTTCCAAATAGATACCTTGCCTGTTTAGAGGCAGGAAAAAGGGAAACCACCTTATTTGAGGACAGAGAGTGTCATCTTGGTAGTTGTGAAATAGTGTTTGGAAGCTAGATTCTTCCAGACTACTAAGGTATGATTTCCCAGAAATTCCTAAGATCCCTGAGGGAAAATGGCAAAGGTCTTTGACGTCATGGCAACAATCGAGATGACAGAATTGGGAATAACATCAGGGTAAACTTGTCATCTGGAGAGAGAAGGAAAAAGCAGTAGGTACAACATTTGGGATAAGAAGATTTGAGCTTGAACAAAGTGTACCGGGTGGTGTTGGGTGGTGGCCAGAGCCCAGCCATTTGGCAGTGGGCTTTGCAATCCTGGGGACAGAAGTGGCTTCCATCCAGTCCTGCCTTTACTTATTAAAACAAACAATTGACAGAGTAGAAAGAGCCTGCTGCAGGTGAATACAGTAAACAGGAAGTATCCATGGGAAGCAGTGAGGGCTACAATCTAGTGGATATTAGAACTTAAGACTTTCTGAGTTCACTGAGTTCAGGTGATGAATAGAGCTTTAGGACACAAAGTAGAAATAGAGAGTGAGGCTGATACAGAAGGTGACAAGAGGCTGATCTGAGAATGCTGAGCATAGGATGACTTGCCAAAGGAAGTAACTTTAGACAGTTGACTCCATTTTCAGGGGATGAAGCAGAAAGAAGAAAGATGGAATTTTGTCTCTCATGTAGACTTCTTGGTTTCAAATGGTGGGAAAGCTAAAAAATGTTGCTAGAGTTTAAAAAGGGAATTTATTACTTCACATAATTGAGAAGTATGGCCTTAGATATGCCCAGATCTAGGATTTCAAGCATCTTTAATTCTTTTTTAAGATTTATTTATTTTTGGCTGTACTGGGTCTCTGTGGCTGCACATGGGCTTTCCATACTTGGAGTGAGTGGGGGCTACTCTTTGATGTGGTGTGCGGGCTTTTCATGGTGGTGGCTTCTCTTGTTGCAGAGCATGGGTTCTAGGCGTGCAGGCTTAAGTAATTGCAGTGCATGGGCCTAGTTGCCCTATGGCATGTGGAATCTTCCTGGAGCAGAAATCAAACCCATGTTCCCTGCATTGGCAGGTAAATTCTTAACCATTGGACCACCACCAATAATGTCTTTAGTAACCTTTAGTCTTTCTTCATCTCTCAATTCCTCTTTCCTCTATATTGGTCTTCCATATGATCAGCTTCTAGCATATACCCATCCAGCTTTAAGTTCAGTAAAGAGTTTATTTGGCCTGTTTTCTCTAGCAAGTGCAAGGATCCTATCTCATTGCTTTTGATTGGTCATGTGACCATCCTTCGAACCCAGGGATTACAATGTTTTACTGATCAACTGAGTCACATTCCCTATCCTTGAAGTCTGGTGCAACAGCTCCAACCAGATTACTTGGACTAGATATGGGGAAGAAGTGGTTCCCTAAGAAAAACTCAGATACCATCATCATGAGACTCAGTATGGATGCTGGGTAGGCAAAACAAAATAAAATGAAAATAAAAACAAGATGACAGACATCTACAACCAATAATCTACACACTCACATAAAATTGAACTGGAAGCTACCATCTATCATCAGCACATGAATATATTATTAACTAAATGCTATCATCAGGTCTTAGATATTCAGTTGTTCTCATACTGACAGAATTTTATCCTCTGGTTTAAATCAGCATTAGGTCTTACATTTAGATCTTTAATCCATTTTGAGTTTATTTTTGTGTATGGTGTTAGAAAGTGTTCTAGTTTCATTCTTTTACAAGAGGTTGACCAGTTTTCCCAGCACCACTTGTTAAAGAGGTTGTCTTTTTTCCATTGTATATTCTTGCCTCCTTTGTCAAAGATAAGGTGTCCGTAGGTATGTGGATTTATCTCTGGGCTTTCTATTTTGTTCCAATGATCTATATTTCTGTCTTTGTGCCAGTACCATACTGTCTTGATGACTGTGGCTTTGTAGTATAGCCTGAGGTCAGGCAGTTTGATTCCTCCAGTTCCATTCTTCTTTCTGAAGATTGCTTTGAAGCTATTCGAGGTTTTTTTTATTTCCATACAAATTGTGAAATTATTTGTTCTAGTTCTGTGAAGAATACTGTTGGTAGCTTGATAGGGATTGCATTGAAAATGGATTAAAGATCTAAATGTAAGACCAGAAACTATAAAACTCCTAGAGGAGAACATAGGCAAACCACTCTCTGACATAA